ACCCTCCACCATTTGTTACAAATTTGGCAATTTCCAAAAAATAAAACCCGTTGAAAATTCTGTTAAAATCTTAAAAATACCGAATGCTTATACGACGACGTGGGCCTGCATAGGCAACTTTTGTCATAAATTATTACAATATTTAAATGAGAAACTTCAAGAAAAATCTGTTTATAAAGTAGCTAAAATCATCAAAATACCGAATATGGGGGGTACCGTTATATGGGGGCTATACGAAGACGTGGACCTGCACAGACAATTTTCTGGCATGGCCTGAAGTATCCATTATGAACTTTAAATACCAAATTTGGAACGATTCCGTTAGATAATGTCGCTAAAATCATCAAAATACCGAATATCGGGGGATACCGTTATATGGGGGCTATATGAAGACGTGGACCTACATTGTTCATTTTTTGACTTTGAATGTAGTTCCATTATGAACTTCAAATACCAAATTTGAAACGATTCCGGTAAACAATGTCGCTAAAATCATCAAAATACCGAATATCGGGGGTACCGTTATATGGGGGCTATATAAAGACGTAGACCTACATGGCTCAATTTTTGGTTTAGGATGTAGAATCCATTACGAACTTCAAATACCAAATTTGAAACGATTCCGGTAAACAATGTCGCTAAAATCATCAAAATACCGAATATCGGAGGGTACCGTTTTATGGGGGCTACACGATGACGTGGACCTGCACAGATAATTTTCTGTCTTAGGCTGTAGTATCCATTGCGAACTTCAAATGCCAAATTTATAATAATTCTGGTGAATAATGTCGCTAAAATCATCAAAATACCGAATATCGGGAGGTACCGTTATATGGGGGCTATATGATAACTTGGACCTATATGGCCCATTTACGAACTTAACCTGCCTACTGGGAAAGTATACATTTGTGCAAAATTTTAGCCTTCTATCTCAATTTGTTCGAAAAATAGCGTGATTACAACAGACAGACAGACAGACAGACAGACACACAGACAGACGGACATGGCTAAATCGTCTTAGAATTTTACGCTGATCAAGAATATATATACTTTGTTGGGTCAGACATGAGTTTTTCGAGGAGTTACAAACGGAATGACAAAATTAATATATGGAGGGTATGGTATGGTGGAGGGTATAAAAAAGCTGTAAGTTCGGCCGGGCCGAACTTTTTATACCCTCCACCATTTGGTACAAATTTGACAATTTCCAAAAAAATAAATAAAATCCGTTAAAAATTCTGTTAAAATCTTAAAAATACCGAATGCCTATACGACGACGTAGACCTGCATAGGCAACTTTTGTCATAAGTGATTACAATATTTTAATGCGAAACTTGAAGAAAAATCTGTTTATAATGTAGCTAAAATCATCAATACACCGAATATAGGGGGTACCGTTATATGGGGGCTATACGAAGACGTGGACCTGCACAGACAATTTTCTGGCATGGGCTGAAGTATCCATTACGAACTTCACATGCGAAATTTGAAACAATCCCGGTAAATAATGTCGCTAAAATCATAAAAATACCGAATATCGGGTGGTACGGTATATGGGGGCTATACGAAGACGTGGACCTACATGGCCCATTTTCTGTTTTATGCTGCAGCATGTATTACGAAATTCAAATGCCAACTTTGAAACGATTCCGGTAAATAATGTCGCTAAAATCATCAAAATACCGAATATCGGGGGTATGGTATTTGGGGGCTATGCGAAGACGTGGACCTACATGGCCCATTTTCTGTTTTATACTGCAGTATCTATTACGAACTTTAAATACCAAATTTGGAACGATTCCGTTAGATAATGTCGCTAAAATCATCAAAAGTGATTACAATATTTTAATGCGAAACTTGAAGAAAAATCTGTTTATAATGTAGCTAAAATCATCAATACACCGAATATAGGGGGTACCGTTATATGGGGGCTATACGAAGACGTGGACCTGCACAGACAATTTTCTGGCATGGGCTGAAGTATCCATTACGAACTTCACATGCGAAATTTGAAACAATCCCGGTAAATAATGTCGCTAAAATCATAAAAATACCGAATATCGGGTGGTACGGTATATGGGGGCTATACGAAGACGTGGACCTACATGGCCCATTTTCTGTTTTATGCTGCAGCATGTATTACGAAATTCAAATGCCAACTTTGAAACGATTCCGGTAAATAATGTCGCTAAAATCATCAAAATACCGAATATCGGGGGTATGGTATTTGGGGGCTATGCGAAGACGTGGACCTACATGGCCCATTTTCTGTTTTATACTGCAGTATCTATTACGAACTTTAAATACCAAATTTGGAACGATTCCGTTAGATAATGTCGCTAAAATCATCAAAAGTGATTACAATATTTTAATGCGAAACTTGAAGAAAAATCTGTTTATAATGTAGCTAAAATCATCAATACACCGAATATAGGGGGTACCGTTATATGGGGGCTATACGAAGACGTGGACCTGCACAGACAATTTTCTGGCATGGGCTGAAGTATCCATTACGAACTTCACATGCGAAATTTGAAACAATCCCGGTAAATAATGTCGCTAAAATCATAAAAATACCGAATATCGGGTGGTACGGTATATGGGGGCTATACGAAGACGTGGACCTACATGGCCCATTTTCTGTTTTATGCTGCAGCATGTATTACGAAATTCAAATGCCAACTTTGAAACGATTCCGGTAAATAATGTCGCTAAAATCATCAAAATACCGAATATCGGGGGTATGGTATTTGGGGGCTATGCGAAGACGTGGACCTACATGGCCCATTTTCTGTTTTATACTGCAGTATCTATTACGAACTTTAAATACCAAATTTGGAACGATTCCGTTAGATAATGTCGCTAAAATCATCAAAATACCGAATATCGGGGGGTACCGTTATATAGGGGCTATACGAAGACGTGGACCTACACAGATTATTTTCTGTCTTAGGCTGTAGTATTCATTACGAACTTCAAATGCCAAATTTGAAACAATTCCGGTGAATAATGTCGCTAAATTAATCAACATACCGAATATCGGGAGGTACCGTTATATGGGAGCTATATGATAACTTAGAACTACATGGCCCATTTACGAACTTAACCTGCTTACTGGCAAAATATACATGTGTGCAATCAAACAATCAAACCCATTATCTCAATTTGTTCGAAAGATAGCGTGATTACAAAAGACAGACACACAGACAGACACACAGACAGACAGACGGACATGGCTAAATCGTCTTAGAATTTTACGCTGATCAAAAATATATATACTTTGTTGGGTCTGACATGAGTATTTCGAGGAGTTACAAACGGAATGACAAAATTAATATACCCTCCATAGTATGGTGGAGGGTATAAAAAACAAATATCGGAGGATTATTTTACATAAGACCTGCAGATCTTATTATAAATCCCTGGTGATACGCTTGATTGGAAGATTCCATAAAGCCATAATATCTCTTAAATCATTAAAATAGCGGATATAGAGCGGTACAGTTACAAGGGACTATACGAAAAGCCGAAAAAAGGGAAATAGGCCTCATTAGAAACATCTAATACGAAATTTAAGACAGTTTCGGTGATTAATGTTGTTAAGATCATCAAGATACCGATTATAGGGAGATACTGTTATAATGGGACCTATATGAAGACGTGGACCTGCATGGGCAATTTTCTGTCACAGGTTTTAGCACAAATTAAGAACTTGCAATACGAAATTTGAAACAATTTTAGACCTCACAAGATTTAGCTATGTCCGCCTCTCCGTCTGTGGAAATCACTCTAGCTTCCCAACGAAATTAGGTTAATAACATTTTACTCAAATGTTTATTATATCTGCAGGACTTTTGGTATTGAAAATGGGCCATATAGGTCCACTTTTTGGTACCTCCCTATTTTCGGAATTTTGGTGATTTAAGCGGCATTACTCGCCGGAATTGCTTCAAATTTGGTATTTAAAGTTCGAATTGGATATTTCAGCCTATGACAGAAAATTGTCTGTGCACGTTTATAGCCCTCATATAACGGTACCTCCCGATGATTTTAGCGACATTTTTCACCGGACTTGTTTCAAATTTGATATTTTAAGTTCGTAATGGATACTACAGCCTATGGCAGAAAATAGTCAGAGCAGGTCCACGTTTTGGTATAGCCCCCATATAATGGTACCTCCCTATATTCGGTATTTTAATGATTTTAGGTACATTATTCACCGAATTTTATTCAAGTTCCGTATTTGAATATTGTAATGGCTTATGGTAAAAGTTGCCTATGCAGGCCCACGTCATCGTATATTCCCTAATATAACGGCTACATTCGGTATTTATAAGATTTTAACAGAATTGTTAAAGGATTTCATTTTTTTGAAAATTGCCAAATTCGTTCAATATGGTGGAGGGTACTCAAAGTTCGGCCCGACCGAACTTAAAGCTTTTTTACTTGTTAATTCTTGTTTTTTTTTTTTTAACCACAAAATATTGGTATATAAAAGTTTGAATGGATATAAAAGCAAAAGGGGTAGCGAAGCGTACCGAGTTCAGCTAGTGTTACATAATGGTTAAGTGTTACATAATACTGCCAATTTACAGGTAAGCAAATGGAACTATGTGTCTATCTCGTCTCCTTTTTTCATGTTACAAACAAATGCACAAAGACATAATAACTTATACTACAGTGTGGTGTCGGCTATAATAACACATAATTTTCACACATTTTTGAATAATCGAAGTAGGGCTGGCGGAAGGGAAACGGAATTCGGGCTAAAATTGCGACTTAAACACCCAAAATGCCTTAAATCTGTCGGTACAATTATATGGGGGCTATACCTAAACGAAAAGAAATAAGCTCAGATTGGACCACATTTTGTTGCTTCTAGCAAAAGTGGACGAAAATAGGGCTCAACTGATATATAATATACTCAATTTCTAAACAAGTTAATCTTATAACATTGCTTCGTAAGGTTGATAATTATCATGATATCATCATTAAATTCGTTTTGCTTTTATAATATTCTAATTTTTATTTGAAGCAACAACTAAAACCAACTTAAAACGGGTTAACAGCATAATATATTAACAATCGTATTTGCCGCATTTATGTACATATTCCATTACTGCTGCTTGCTTTTATTGGATGGACCCAAAACAACGATATTCCCGTTTTCGTAGGATACGATTTTACCAGAATCAATGAAAGTATCTTGACCTGGTGATGAAATCCACAAATGGCCAATAAGTGTTCCAGAGACCTGTTTATAATGTGCCATTATGGAATCACCATAAGACTCCATTAGTACGTTATTTTCCGAATCAATGATACGAAATTTGCATTCCGGTAAAATTGTGTTCGGCAAGTTGGCGTTGCTTTGTTTTTCTTTCTCAGGTTGAAGTTCTTTCAATTTCGATTTGTATTTTGTTATATGATGATTTTCAAACAATGAATGACCCGTGATGCCAAACCATTTCGAAAAGGTAGAAACTGACAAATTGTTGCCACAGCATATCATTAGGTGTATATGTTTGGTACAATAATCCCTGATGTATTCCACCATACGGCTATCCTTGGAAAATATCCGTTCATGTTCCATTATGAGCAAATCGAAAATTTTGCTTTCCGCTACTACTAGATTTATACGATCTTTTACTGGAACATTAATACCCAAAATGATGGACCAGGCTTTGACAGGATCAAATGGATAGTGAATTTGTAAGGTACTACCCAATATGAGGGGGAACATTTGATTGCTCACAAAGCTATTGGTATTGAAGGAGGGTAATATATTCAAAATGCGATCATTTGCCGATATATTCCAGACATTGGCAATATCTTTCATTTCCGAATTAATGTGATTATGAGTCAAAATATAGTTTTGCAATTTCTTATCATCTTCCGCGCCATCTATAGAGTAAATTTTCATAGCATCAGCATTCGTGTAGAAATTATTTTGCAATAGCCCTTCAAAAACTACCAATTTATCGGCCATAAATATTTCACGATTGAAATTAAAGGAATAGCTTTGATTTTTGGCGAAATCGTAGTCCACGGTAATCAAAACAATTTCTTGTGATTTGGCTAGCTTTTGAGCCACCTCCCTGGCGTCCTTGGAAGTAATTAATAGTTTAATTTTAGATTCCATTATTATTTCTTGTAGATTTTCAAATTTCCAAGTTGATTTTAATGGTATTGCAACTTGACCGGAAATCCAACAGGCCCATAAGTTCAAAATTGTTAAAACGTCATTGGAGCCGAAACATCCCACGGAAGAACTAGACCCACTTCCTAGAATCGGGAAAATATAGAAAGGAATCATTACTGAGAACATTTAAAGAAAACTTTCTTAAGGCTTTCCATACGTAGAAGAAATTCGGAAGGTATTCCACGCATAGAAAATCTGTTCATTAAAGACATTTTGTAGGTTTTTATACCCTCCACCATAGCATGAGGGGGTATTAGGTTTGTCATCATGTTTGTAACACCTAGAAATATTAATTTTAGACCCCACAAAGTACCTACAGATGGTGCTCTGAAGGTCCAGTTCGTTAAAGACCTTCTGAAGGCCTTCTATCCTAAGGATAGAAACTCTTCTATATAGAGAAGTTTCTTTGAACGGTTTTCCTGGAGGCCTTCAGGCCGAAGTGGAAGGCCACTGAAGGGAGGATCTTCAATAATTTCAAAAGTTTTTTATTCGTAGAAGGAGCTTCGAGTGGTTCAATTCTTTTAAGATCTTCTGAGGTAAAAGACCTTCTCTAGAAGAACTCTTGAATGTATACTATACGTAGAACACATTTTGAAGATTTTCTTATACACGGTAGACCCTTTGGAAGTCTCTTATCTACACAAGAATTTTTATTCATATATAGCTATACATAGGATACCTGATAAAGGTATTTCCTCTGGAATACCTTTTAAAGACTTTCAAAATGTAAGTGAGATTTTGAAAATCTCTAATTCATAGAAACCATTCAAAGGAATATTTGATATGGTATAATTTAATATAAAGCGTCCATTATCTAGAGAAGACCCTTCCATTCATAAAATATCTCTTGGGGGTTTTGATCATTAGAATAACTTTTAAATACCTTGGAAATATAGGATACCTTTCAAAAGTCTCTAATACACAGAAGCCATTTAAAGGTTTTTAATCTGTAGAAGACCCTTTATAAAATCCATAAAATATCTATTGACATTCGTCTATTCGATTTGTAAACAGACTTTTTCGAGTATCTTGAACCTTATAAGAATTTGGAGTTATGTTTACCATGAACAAAAGATTTTTTGAAGGAATTCTACTTATCAGAGTACTTTGATATATAAAATACATTTTGAAGAAATCCTAACAACTGAGAACGTTGGAATAGTTTTCTATCCATGGAAGACTTTTTGAAGGTGGTTTATTAGGTGAAGACCTTGTGTGGTTCTTCTATTCACAAAAGAATTTCTGGAGGGCTTCGGTTAATAGAATACCTTATGTAGGTCTGTTATACATGAAACATCTTATGCAAATGTAAGATCCACAGAACACTTCTTGAATTCCCTTCGTACGAAGAAGACCATTGAGGGCCTTTTGAAGGTCTTCGACCACATTAGAAAGTCTGTATTTCATCACAACCCGAAGAAACTTTTGACCGTTTTCTTTTCCTAGAACACATTTAGAAGGTATTCTACTCAAATAAGGTCATTTAAAGCATTTTTTAACAACACAAAAATTGTTGTCATTATTTTTTCTATGAGACGTGTTGAACGTCTTCTCATACTAAAGATCTTCTAACCACAGGACTTATATTATATTCAGAAGGCTTTTGAACATTTTTTATATCTATGGAGAATATTTTACATACGAAGAAGACTTCTTGCATATCTTTGAGCGGTGGAAGGAATTGTGATGGTCCTCTATTCGCAGAAGGTCTTCGATGAAAACATTGAGAAGAGCACAACATGAAAGAATCATACGAAAGCTTTTCATCTGAAAATCTCTTTGTATGTATTTCATCTATTGAAGGGCATGTAAGAGACTTACAGCCATAGAAAAATTTTCCTTGACAAAATATATCTGAAATATATTTTGTCAGTGAGGCCCTTTTGACCGTCTTCTATCTTTATAAGGCCTTACAATATATTCTACATATAGAAAGAAGGCTTGTAACACCTTAATAGACTAGAGAATATATCTGATATGCTCTTTGATCTCCTATAAAAGATTCTAAAAATATACCTATAGCATTTTATCTCAATATTATAAATTACCACATATATTCGAAATCTGTTTTGACAGTCTCTTGGAGTTCATGTACAGCTGCAGGTATGAATACTCCCCGGTAGTATCTGCCACTGCTACGCGATTTCCATACAATAGAGCTTTTTTAAATATTGGAACAACTATTTTCTTGTACTCCTCCAGGCGATAACATTCCCGAAGTCTTGATATATATTCCGGTGGGGCATGGTATTTCTACAATAAAAATGCTAAAATAAAGATTTGATTTTGAAGCTTTTATTTGATAATTTTTACCACCAATGAAGATGAAAAACGTTTGCAGACATTATTTATCACAATACATGCTAAGAAGTTCCTCATATTTTCAAAAATATTGTCTTGTTGAACTTTAATGACTGCCAAATAATAATATTGAATGAAATATACATTTTCGAAACGTCAACTAATTTGGAAATCAGCATGACATCTACAATAGCTCTGTTCCAGATTGTAATGTTTTTTTAGTAAGCTCCTTTCAACAATGGTAGATTAAGAAGGTAACCCTTTTAGGCATGCTGGTATCAATTTGATGTGTCAAAACATTGTTGTAATTTGAGTTCAACTTACATATATACATAAAAAATGTTCAGTGATTTGAAAATTTAACAATACAATTCATAGTAAATCACTATGTTAATTATACCCTACACCACATAGTGGTAAGGGTATTATGTCTTTGTGCATTTGTTTGTAACATGGAGAAGGAAACGAGATAGACCCATAGTTACTTTTGAGAACCTTCATAGAATCACTTTCTGAGTCGATTTATGCATGTCAGTCCGTCTGTCCGTCCGTCCGTCCGTCCGTCTGTCCATGTATTCTTGTGAACAAAATGCAGGTCGCATTTATTATCCGATTGAGATGAAATTTTCCAAAAAATATTTTTTTGGCCCAAGGACGAACCCTATTGAAATTGGTGAGAATCGGATCAAATTTAGATATAGCTCCCACATATATCTTCATCCGATTTCGGGTTAAATGTGCACCAAATGTCCACTATCAGTCCAAATTACCTGAATTTTGGTACACCCAACCGAGTTCGGCCTAGAAGCAAGTATATAAAATTTGGAGAAAATCGGTTCAGATATAGCTATAGCTCCCATATATATCTTTCATCCGATTTGGTGTTTAAGCCTCTCACATTCGTAATATGCACTCCACAAGAATGATATTTGGTACCAGATATAAGATACAGCTCAGAAATAGCTGTTTTAAATTTTATCGAAATCGGTTCAGATTTGGATATAGCTCCCATATATATCTTCATCCGATTTCGGGTTAATTGTGCACCAAATGGCCAATATAAGTCCAAATGGACTGAATTTTAGTACATCGGACCAAATTCAGCCTAGAAGCAAGTATATCAAATTTAGTGAAAATCGGTTCAGATATAGATATAGCAACCATATATATGTTTCATCCGATTTAGAGTTTTAGTCCCATACATTCGTAATATTCACTCTACAACCGTGATATTTGGTACCAGGTATTAGATGGAGCACAGGAATAGCTGTTTTAAATTTTATCGAAATCGGTTCAGATTTGGATATAGCTCTCATATATATCTTCATCCGATTTCGGGTTAAATGTGCACTAAATGGTCAATATCAGCCCAAATCACCAGTCTGGAAGCTAATACGTAAAATTTGGAGAAACCCGGTTCAGAGATAGCTATAGTTCGTAAAATGCACGATAGAATTAGATAGATTTTGATTTTGTACCAAATATCTCATAGAGCTCTGAAATGCCCTGTATAAACCTTTTTACGAGAGCTCTACTAAATATGCATAGTGGTGTAGGGTATCATATAGTCGGCCCCGCCCGACTTTTGAGCTTTCCTTACTGGTTTCTCTTTAAAGAGCAAAAGAGAGAGAGACTCAATTCTTCTTGTTTTTTTATGAAAAGGAGGGAAAAAGCGTACATTAAATAAAAAGGAAGTCATGGGAAATAAGGAGATCTACGTGGAGAAATGCGTTGATAATAAAAAACCAGTAAGGAAAGCTCAAAAGTCGGGCGGGGCCGACTATATGATACCCTACACCACTATGCATATTTAGTAGAGCTCTCGTAAAAAGGTTTATACAGGGCATTTCAGAGCTCTATGAGATATTTGGTACAAAATCAAAATCTATCTAATTCTATCGTGCATTTTACGAACTATAGCTATCTCTGAACCGGGTTTCTCCAAATTTTACGTATTAGCTTCCAGACTGGTGATTTGGGCTGATATTGACCATTTAGTGCACATTTAACCCGAAATCGGATGAAGATATATATGAGAGCTATATCCAAATCTGAACCGATTTCGATAAAATTTAAAACAGCTATTCCTGTGCTCCATCTAATAGCTGGTACCAAATATCACGGTTGTAGAGTGAATATTACGAATGTATGGGACTAAAACTCTAAATCGGATGAAACATATATATGGTTGCTATATCTATATCTGAACCGATTTTCACTAAATTTGATATACTTGCTTCTAGGCTGAATTTGGTCCGATGTACTAAAATTCAGTCCATTTGGACTTATATTGGCCATTTGGTGCACAATTAACCCGAAATCGGATGAAGATATATATGGGAGCTATATCCAAATCTGAACCGATTTCGATAAAATTTAAAACAGCTATTTCTGAGCTGTATCTTATATCTGGTACCAAATATCATTCTTGTGGAGTGCATATTACGAATGTGAGAGGCTTAAACACCAAATCGGATGAAATATATATATGGGAGCTATAGCTATATCTGAACCGATTTTCTCCAAATTTTATATACTTGCTTCTAGGCCGAACTCGGTTGGGTGTACCAAAATTCAGGTAATTTGGACTGACAGTGGACATTTGGTGCACATTTAACCCGAAATCGGATGAAGATATATATGGGAGCTATAGCTGTTTCTGAACCGATTTTCTCCAAATTTGTTATATTTGCTTTAAGGCTAATCTCGATCACATGTGCCAAAATTCGGGCCATTTGAGCTGATATTGGCCATTTGGTGGTCAATTAACCCGAAATCGGATGAAGATATATATGGGAGCTATATCCAAATCTGAACCGATTTCGATAAAATTTAAAACAGCTATTTCTGTGCTCCATCTAATACCTGGTACCAAATATCACGGCTATATACTTGCTTCTAGGCCGAACTCGGTTGGGTGTGCCAAAATTCAGGTAATTTGGACTGATAGTGGATATTTGGTGCACATTTAACCCGAAATCGGATGAAGATATATATGGGAGCTATATCTAAATTTGATCCGATTCTCACCAATTTCAATAGGGTTCGTCCTTGGGCCAAAAAAATATTTTTTGGAAAATTTCATCTCAATCGGATAATAAATGCGACCTGCATTTTGTTCACAAGAATACATGGACAGACGGACGGACGGACGGACGGACGGACAGACGGACTGACATGCATAAATCGACTCAGAAAGTGATTCTATGAAGGTTCTCAAAAGTAACTATGGGTCTATCTCGTTTCCTTCTCCATGTTACAAACAAATGCACAAAGACATAATACCCTTACCACTATGTAGGTGTAGGGTATAAAAACAATGTAGATAACAGGTTTCAAATATTATAAAATAAGTAAAAATTTCACGTACCTTTATGAAGGAGATAATCTAATGCGTGGAAATCCATGGACATTTTTGTTAGGTTTTCTGACCAATACACTACTGGAATTCATCGGTATATTGAGAATATACATAAGATATCCATCCTGTAGTGACCTTAACATCACACGTAGTGACCTTAACATCACACGCGGAAAAAACATTTTGTGTCCTCTCACCTTAAGTTCATGTAGTAGAAGGAAATGAAATGAGATTAATGCTACTACTATTATTTTACATTTTTTTATGGGATAAATAATTAACACTCTCCTTGTTATACTTTTTCCAGCAAGTATTTCTACAACCGACAGAAAGGGAATAGAAAAACAACAAATAGCTACTAAACCCAATTTAGCATTTACCATAAGGAACCCATTGCAATGAAAGCTGTGCAGAAAAGTTAGAGATCGTGAATTCAAAAAAATAAATAAAAATCATGTTAAAAAGCAGTAAGTTCGGCCGGGCCGAACTTTGAATACCCTCCACCATTTGGAAAGAATTTGGCTATTTCCAAAAAAAAAAAAAAATCCGTTAACAATTTTGTTAAAATATTCAAAATAACAAATGTAGCCGTCAAATGTGAAGCTTAAAAAATAAGTTGGGAATAATGTAGCTAAAATCATCAATATAGGGAGGTAGTGTTATATAGGGGCTATACCGAAATGATGACCTGTTCAGACAATTTTGTGCCTTAGGTTACAATATCCATGACGAACTTCAATTACCAAATTTGGAACAAATCCGGTACCGGGAGGTACCGTTATATGGGGGCTATACGAAGACGTGGACCTGCACAGACAATTTTAGACTGTAGGATCCATTACAAACTTCAAATACCAAATTTGAAGCAATTCCGGTGAATAATATCGCTAAAATCATCAAAATACCGAATATCGCGGGGTACTGTTATATGGGGGCTATACGTAGACTTGGACCTGCACAGACAATTTTCTGACTTTTTTCCATTATGAACTTCAAATACCAAATTTGAAAGAATTCCGTTGAATAATGTCGCAAAAATCGTCAAAATACCGAAAATCGGGAGGTACCGTTATATGGGGGCTATACCATAACGTGGGCCTACATGGCCCATTTTCAACACCAAAAGTCCTGCTAGGAAGCTAGAGTGATTTTCACAGAGGGACACACGGACGAACATCGCTAAATCGACACAGAATTTTATGCTGATCAAGAATATATATATACTTTGTGTGGTCTAAAATGTATATTTTGGGGTGTTACAAACGGATTAATAAACATAGTATACCCTTCATACTATGGTGGAGGGTATAAAAACGAACTGAAGAAATTACATTAAACATCCACGTAAAATAACCAGTCGCTATTCCTTTCAGTTCGCTGCAGGCATTTCAAATATACATTTTACGAATTTTCTTTGGATGTTACCAGGCTCTAGTTTTTCTATGCAAATAGAAAACAAATGGCCGGAAGCGCAGACAATTACATTTATACTCACATGTCTAACATACCTTTGCAAATGTGGCATATGGCAGAAAAGGTTTCACTGAAGGGCCTTCTTCACTCAGCCACTTTTCAACGAGACCTATATAAGGTCGGGGGGAAAAAGACGAGAATTTGGCACTAAACCTAATAGTTATTACAATCTGGCGATATAATTGTTATAACCTCTGCCCTTGTTATTCCGTTTGTAGCATCCCTAAATATTCGTCTACACACCAAGACTGGAACTCATGCAAAGTTGCATGATTCTAGCTTCAACCGTTTCGTTTGAGCGTTGGTTCTATGTCGGACCTCTACTAAC